AATAATTATTGCGAGGTGTCTTTATGAAGCAGCGGATTATTGCTAGATGCTGATTGCCCCTTGTATCAACATTGGGATCAGACATTTGGCAACGTTTTGCCATTACGTTTAAAATTACACTGGATCGCATTATAATAACAATAACACGAAGAAGATAGCATAAAATATGTGCATCCAAAAATATGTAACAACAACAATAAATTTATCAATAACATTATTAATTACGCAGTGTAAATATAAAATATAATCGAGAAATAACTATTAAATTAAAATTACATATTATATAATTACAGCAAATATATTTAATAAGATATTAAAATAATATTTTTTCAAGCTCGATGTTAGGTTCATATTTTTTACAATCACAATGAAACAATGAATTAAAAATCTAAACTAATGCTATGTTTAATGATAGACTACGCAAATGAAAATCTAATTGTTGGTTGATACTCATCCTCTAAACTTAGTAATTTATGAAATTAACATCTAATCGTCTACTGTTCTTAACTATCTAATTGATATCTATTTATTATTTATCCTTAGATTTAATACTTCTGTATTATTGACTGAATACAACACACGATTTTTAAAATATTGTTTATACGCAGGTCATAATTATTTTCACTTGATAATCTTTTTTTTTATTATGTTTGAAGAGTCTAGTGCAATTCTCGTGGTGTGCTGGTGTGTGTTACATTATTTCTTAATTTATGTAGCAATTTCAGGAAATACCTTCTTAATGCTCACTTGTATGATTTGTTAAGGAATAATGAAAGCTAAGGTTTATTTTGAAAGACTAAGGTTTAGTTTGTAAGATCCAAAGGTTTCTCTAATATATAAATTAATCAGTTCCTAAATTGAAAGTTGACGCAGATATATATATTTTGCAATCTGAAATAATTTATTTTGTAAGTAACAAAAGAAATTATTTCATTATTTTATAAATAAATATGTATATGCCTATCCCAGGAATGTATTATATATAATATAGTAATAATATATTAATTTATGTCTCCTCACAAATAACTTAAATTTAAAAATGAGGTATTTAAGATAAAATTAAATATATGTATATATGTGTTGAACATAAATTTCAAGAATGTATTTAATTTCATAAAACAATTCCCATAGACTTTCTGTTCCATCTTGTTGTTCACTGCTAAATATAGATTTCTCCCACACCACAAGGAACAATATTGAATCTCCTATGTACATATCGTTCAGTGTATGATGTCGTCTATGAAAGCGTTTGTTTTTAAGGGGTTTTGTCTATAGAATTTTCAAACGGATGTCGTGATTTCGTGTAAAACTAATTAGTGAATTTTCCTAAATAAAATAATTGTAACAATGTATTAACGAGAATATTTGAATAAGGTTACAATGGTTACAGTGAATAAAATACGCCATTCGTGTTGACACGAAAGAGCGATATCAATTATTTAAACATGATGCTGTTACATGTGAATCAGTTTGTACTTATCATTAATAATGATCATATAGATATGTTCAAATTCCTCTTTATTAAATTCGATGGTCTACTATTACAATAAATCTAATATAACAATAAATATAACCACAGAATACCTGACTGACTGGTAGAGCATGTCTACAGTATTAAGTCTGCCTTTTGAATAACATTTTGATTTAATTACTTAATAAAGTTTAAATGAATAAATATTAAAACTTCATATTTGAAAAATATTATAAAAATTTAAGCGCTTGGTCTAAATTCATTTTAAAATTCAAGACAGAACGTATATTTTTTTTCAATTTACTATTACCATTTTGTTATACCGTAAAACAAGATAGATCTTACTTATTACCATAATCAACTTGAAATTATAATTATAGGTAATCTGAGATTAATTAGTTCATTTCTGTTTTGCATAATTATCATATTCAAATAACCATTAAGGTTGATTGTTATGACACGTACGAAGTATAGAGAATTAATATCGAAATTAATTTGTCAATATATTCAACCTGTTATACTATTTCATCTATCTATTGTATCTACTGGTACTGTTTAAAATGTTTTACAACATATCATATTATATATAAATTATATAGTGAGATCATTTATAAATTTTTGCTCATATTTATAGCTGTAAGTCATATATATGTTCCTAATAATTTGATACTGTAAACCCACCAACAAATATTTTATTGTTTATTATGTATATTATTTTTATTGTATAAATCATCGCGTTGTATTCAGTTTACCTATGTCCTATTGAAATCCAAACACTATTTACTCATCTATATAGAGGACATCTAAATATCATATACTGACGCTATAATGCTGTACTGTTATTACTATGCCGCTAATAATGTTAACGGCTAAAGAGTAAGAGTGAGAAAGAGTTCAAAAAATCTATACCTATCTTTATACTAACTATACCAAAACTACAAAAAATCCCTTCGGTCTATTACTATGATCTTTAATCATTAAGATCACAAAAATTCTATTTTAATTTTCTAAATATCAACATTTATGTGATACATACCATCATCAAATACGTGATATTATTGGAACGCTTGCATTTATTCTCGTATCGTTTTCGATTGACGAATCATAAATGGGTTGAAATAAATACTAAAGTTATTGGCAAACGTAGTGCGAACTACGTTTAACTACATCGCTGCAACTGGATTATTTGCCGAGTGAGTTGAAGCACTTCATTATATTGCAAATGCAATCCAGTTGCTATAAAATCACGAAAAAGTTACGTATAATTTAATATTAACTCAATTTCATTAGAAAATAACAAAGTTGTTTATATTATACTTTCAAAAACTGTCTTCTATCCGATTCTGGCAGTACGTGTAGCCATTTTCTAAATTAAAGGAACATACTATTCTTAAATAAAAGCTATTCCCCTAATGCTCCTTGTCGGTCGCATCACCGCCGCCACATTTTGACATAGTATCATCAGATAAAACAATTACATGTCTTGGCATCAATGTAGATAAACAATAACCATGCTAGTATCACTTTATTATCTGTGGCACAACTTTGCAAAAAGTAATAACGAAGTCACAAAAACAAGTATTTCACGCGCCACATCCAGGGCAGATACTATTGAGATATTAATATTCAAACCATGATATTTAATTAACCATTTGCGACCGGATACATCGGGGTATAATTTATGGTGGTCTAAATATTGGTGATGTAGATGATGTTACCAATAAGCTGGAAGCGGCGTCGGCTGAGGAATGCTAATGGCCAAATGGGCGCACATTAATTGTGGCGGGGCAGCGCGCCGGCGCACAACGTACGCACGTTGCGGTCATATAACCAGCCACCGGCAAGGAACCGGATTTTCGTGTGCGGTAAATTCACATGCTGAATTTCAGACGTGGCCTGTGTGTTAAAAATTAAACAATAGGTCTGTATTTTCTGTAAATGGCCTACGAAAAGTTACGCGGAGAAATGTGTAGGAGAGTTTTTATTCTGCAAGCCTACATATTTTCTTAATACCGTTTTGCCCAGTACGGTTTTAGGATTCTTTAGTTCGAGTGTAGTTTTTGCACGAGACAAGCACATCATAGTAGATTCCGTTCGTAGTACTATAGAATTCTCTTTTTGTTACATGACTCGTTTGTTCTAATGGGAGTAATTAAAGAACTGCTCCATTGTTCAATTATATTTACAATTGAACTACGATCCACAATGGTAAACCTTTTTGTTGGAGCTAGAAACGTTTGTCTCGCGTGTCGTAAAACGATCGCTCGATAGTAATTACTTGAAACAATTTAAACGACAAAGGAAGTCTTGACCAATCGCCGACTATACTAAATATAGTAGCATTACGATAAAACAGAACTGCGATTCACTTAAATTTAACTCGCTCGATTACGAATTTCCAATAATTTCTGATTTCATTTACGTTTGACTGAAAAAATATGCGGTTTGGGTTTCCGCCACGAAAAAGTGGAAAGCCAAAGCTTAGTGGCGTAATTATGGTGGAGCGGAGGCAGCTCAAACACAGAGTGTGGACAAATAACGAGAAGAGTATTTGTGCAGCTGTGCCATGCCGCGCCTCTTACCTAACCCCGCTTCCGCCTACGCTCCGAATACATATCTATATATTCCATACTTGTATATATATGTATTGTTGGTTTAAAAAGAATGCAACAAATTTAAAAATGATAATTGTTCTGCAAAAATTAACATTCTAGTCTCATTCACGGGATCGACTAGAAGCCTCCGGTGGACTACTTTTAATTAGTGAAAATTCTTTTGCGTACGCCCCGCGATTTACATAGAAGTCACCACAAAAAGGACGTCACTTTTTCAGTACTTTTGTTTGAATCTGTTTAAATCTCTTTTAAAAGCTTTCTCTGTTAATGAGAAGTGGGTGATGGTGCAGTAGTAGATGAGGGCGAGAAAGGGCGAAGGGAGAACTGAGACACGAGGCGAGGCGCGGCGGGGGGAGACCCGAGGCGAACGCGGTATTTGCGCTAGAGTATTTGCCCGACGCGTAGCATTTGAGAATCGTTAGGGCGAATCATCTGTAAACATAGAGCGCTCGCAATTGGCCGGATTGTCTCGACAAAATACTGAAGATAAACAATAAGCAGCACTTCTCAAAATATGGACGTTTTGTAATTGACGGCGTGGCGTTTATCTAGATGGTTCAGTCATTGTTAGAGGTGTTAACTTGTTAGTAAAGTTGTTAGTGTGAGTTCACACGAACTTTTGTTATAGGAGAAGTTAGTTGAAATGGGAAGTTAGGTGACAGTCACCATAGTAAAGGAGAATAAGCGTATGCATTGTAATTTCTGCATATAAGCGAATATGTTATTAAGCGAATCTGTGCCGAGTATAGGACGTTAGCGATTAGTGGAATGCATTGCCGTGGCGCGAGTTCACAGATGCATGGCATGTACATTGTAAACCCCGCTGAGCTCGAGCGGGTGGTATGGCAGGAGTGTCGCCAGGTGGTGGTAGTGATTGCCGGACAGTTGGTGGTGCAAGCTCGCCAGGGGATTACCTGCTGGGTACGGTAGCCCGAAGCTAGGATAGCCCGAATAGCTACGTCCTGCCGCGTACGCGGCGTATGCTGCGGGAAAACCTGTACAACAAATAATCAATAATTAATATATATACAATTAATTATTATAAAATTAGTATCTATTAAAAACAGTAGTAGTTAGTAGTCAATTGACATGCTTTTGTATTTTATATTAGTTTATTGTCGCATAGCTGATACTGATTCATTGGTCGATATAAATATTTGGTATGTAACACATGCCCCTCTGGCCTCATTCTAAAATAGAGCCGTCACATAGAAGGTAGGAAAGTACATCGCACTCGACTGGTACGACACTGCTTTGGACAATGTCCAGCGGGTAATATTTTGTAAACATCGTTTAATGTAGCGCAGTCCAAGTAGACTAACGGCGCCTTTATATAGTAGTAAGAGATACCTACTGTACTAATAAACAAACTTACTTCATTATCAAATAAAAACATAACTAGTATTTTAGAACATGACATTAGTAACTACATTGAAACAAATAGTACACAATTCGTATTGAATTTTCTGTCACCCGACTACGGTATTATGAAGGCAATGTATGCCATTTGACGTTGAAGATGACTAAATCGATTTCGACAAATGTGATGGCATTGAGTTTGCATAACTCATAGAATGGCCCTTGAAGTGAAAGAAAATTGAATTTAAATTAAACTTGTAAAATGTCTAAAACAAATTCATAGCTTTAAAAATATAAGAACCCATGTTAGTGGAATATACCAAAGAACAAATTTAATTAAAAAAAAATTATGAAAAATAAAAAATGAATGAATCTTATGTAGTCGGGTTTACTGAAGTCATGATATTTTACCCATCAACATGTAATAAAAATATGTATATTGTACTATCGGTTCCTATAACAACATGAAGTTTGTTAAAATGTAAAATGAATGATGGCCGAACGGTGAACATCGGTAGACACTATTACTACAGCATACCGGATGGATCGTTTATCACATTATTGCCAATCAAAATAGTGTATCTGTCAGCCCATGTAATCCATCATATGCTAGACGGACATACCTACAACGCGACCGTATTATCCCTTAATTGAATGCATCGACACCTAACACTTTAAGTAAATTAACTAGGTAATTGATAACGCCATGAGCAGTTAGAATAATTAGATCTATCAAAGTGTTTGTTAATAATGACCTGACAGATGCAGGAATGACAAGGGAATGAAGTGACTTTTTAATAAAAAAAAAGTGATTGAACTTACCATCAGGAAGAGCACCCAATGACCACATGAAATCTAGAAATGTAAAAACATTTACATAAATCGATCGATCCTTATATCTTACATTTACATGTGTGTGTTTATTTTTGATGTTTAAAATAGTGATGTGCCGTGAGACACTATTTTGCTTGGCGAAGTTTTTATACATATAGTGAGTATATGGTCAGATATATACTTAATTTATGTTTATATATGAGCATTCAATATTACTAATATTCTACAATCAAACATTTTCTATATTGGCTTTATAATAATGGGGTATGTTAGTGCTTTTCATCATTGCGGACAATGATGTAAAAAGTTTACATGTTAATCTATTCTACACATGGTTAGTCTAAAGCTAAACATGTTAAACAAACAGACGTCTTTAAATATTTTAGAAATGATATTTATTAATCTAATACTACTGATACCTACATAATAAGTTAATACAATTAATTCTATTAGTTAACGAGAGCTACTTGAATACAAAAAATTTTGAGTGTATTATATGAACTTACTGTTAAAGTAACAGTACCAGTTAATAATGATGTATAGGAATAATTACAACTAAATAAAACTAATAGTGAACATAATATTTGGTCCTAATTTGGCATTGCACAATATATAAATAATATGTAAAGAGTAAGGATTCAAATAAAATAAATTGATTACTATAAACACACAAAATATTAAAGACATTAAGTACCTAGACTAGTATAATATAATCATTAATCTTACAATAATTATATATAATTGAAATAAAACATTTGTCTAAAGATCTCACAAACTCATATAACATCCAAAGATAATAGGTACCTCTTTCATCCACTGATAACATTTTTTGAAAAGCCGACATCAAACTGTAAAACTATTAATTGTAAAAAGCTAAAGAATAAATATCACATACGAAAATAGATTTCATATTAATTTCACCAATTGTTTATTTGCAATCAATGATATAACTAAAAATTATTTCGCTAAACTGTTCATTTATATTATGGATGGATATGTAGCAAAATTGGCAAGAATCAGCAGAACCGACAGGCTCTTATTGTATACTCCATTTTAAAAATCTACTTAAAAATAATGTTAATACCAGGCTCTGAACTATATTTCTATCTACCTATTTGTAAATCAAACCGAATTAAGCACCTACTACCTGGTAGAAAAATATTCATCTCTATCAACCCTACGTAAAATTGTTCCAGTTTTCTTCTACTATTCATTAACAAATATGATATTTATGTGAATTATTATAATGTAAAATAGTTGAGTCTATAGCATTACTAATTTACGTTTGATACACATTTCGAAAATCTGCTATCTAACTGACTTTCTAATGGAAATTACTAAAAATAAGACACTTTGGATATTATCAGTTTCCTTAATGTACATTGTAAGATTCGTATCATTGGCAGGGTAGGGAAGAGTAGGAATGTAAAAGAAATCAGGAATGAATAGGATAAGGTCGCCAGCGCAGCATATAGAGGAATGCAATAAAGATGCAATAAAAATTAAAGGAATATAATTATAAAAGCGTATATGTGTCAGACACATAACTTAGAAAGGGTGATGAGGGTGCTGTTGGAAGAGAATTGCGGATCAGAGAGGCAAAGGAGTGGGCAGAGTGGTGTGAGTCAGAGGAGAATATAATGCTGGAATATCCAGTGCATGAGCACCCAGTAGTTCAGAGACAGAATAGGCGAGTGGAGGAATGGTAAGAGGAGCAAGCGCGGGGCGCGGAGGCCTCGGAGTGGGACGAAGAGCGGCTAGAGCACGACGGTATGCAGCTGCATGCGCGGCCCCGGCAGTTGCAGAGCCCCCGCCCGCGCCTGCTACAAGAAGCTGCGCTGGTGCATGGACAGGGTAGGGGGTATATCGGACGCCACCTGCCACGCCAGCCGCTACGGCGGTACCTAGCAACTCACCGTACGCGCCGCGACCGGCGGCTCTCGTCTTTGCCAAGTTCGCTGGGAGCATTACTTCTTTTGGTTGTGCTTTTTTGCATTCCACCTGAAACAATGAATCGAAATTGAATTGTCTTATTTTGTCTGTTTTCTAGTGTCAAGAGCTTCTAGAGCAACTTCGTTATACATGAAGGTCTTTATTGTGGCTTGTGGTGCAAAAATAATTTCAAAATTCAGTGATTTAGGCTGGGATTTGGCATTAGGATTTTCGGATCGCAGTTATGTGATATCCAAATGAGTTGTCAAGACTTTAGTTGATTAAATAATATAGACATATTTTTTATTTAACTCGATATGGTTCACATTGAGACTTCATTTTTGCGACAGTAGTTACCGTTCGCCTTAGATATGAGCCATAGTGTTCTACAGATAATGGTTACTGAAACGCTCAGTACGTTACTACTTGTGGTTTTAAAAAATATATTTTATCGTATTGCGTTTATTAATTTTGCCAAGATCCCTTAAATATTCGTACTTTATTGGGATCGGACGAGTCGGGAAATTATGGGGAAAAGGGGGTGACGAAATCGGTCTACAATCCGTTATGCTTCACGGTTCGAATGACAAATTGAATTTTAATTTGCTTTAACAAGTCAAAGAGCTTATCGTTGAATACTTATTATATAAAACAAGACAAATTTTACGAGGTTTAAATTACGTAATTATTTAGGTATTGTGTCATTCCTTGTAATAAATTATTTTAAAATTCTATTAAAATTAAATTACTTAATTGTATATACATTTATATACCTATATCAAATATATTCTTACAATTTTAGTAAGATTGCGAGTATAATTTAACATTAAAGCTTCTCGTTTAATCGATTGATTAAGTAATTTTAACAAAGAGTATAGCTCTGTTCGGTACTTGTATATTCCTACCCGCCCCTGAAGGGTGGGCAGGAGGCAAGTATAAATTACCCAATCTACGCTAACCCAAACCTCTAGCAATAGGATTTTCGTTACCAAGTAGCATCGTTACAGAAAAGTACGTAGGCTTAAATTAAAGTCAGCGGATAGATCGCCTTAAATTTCCTCCCGAATCCTGTTGAGGTTTATATATTTTAAGAAGCCAGAGTTACGAATAAAACTTAAGAATTTATGAGATATATTTTACGAATATGAATATTTTTCAGTTACATTTTTTATAGAGCTGCATAATCGCAATCTGTCTTCGTTGAGAATGTAGCGAAGTACATAAAGTCGCGTCCACATTTGTCACGCGGACGTCACAAGCCGACAAATGAAGGCTTTGCTAGGCGTTCGCGCACTTTGTGCACTTTGCACAACTTTCTGCGCCGACATGGAACTACGTGCTTTTGCATTAACGCGACGAAGTGAGTACGCGGGCTTTACCGCGTTGAGTGTCTTTCCTCCAAGTTTTATGCCTAGATAAGGCTGAATAATCAACATGTAAAATAAGTTGGGGGACTCGGCTTCACATAAGTTATATGAAAGTTTTCATCTTTAAGACATAATAAAAAGTTACGTTACGAACTTACTATTATTTCATCTATAAATGGATATGTTTCATGAACTTCGTATAACTAAACTTTTATTGTATCAAACTTGTACAATAATGTGAAATGCAGCTAAATTATTTTCTAACATGAACTGTATTCTTCGATCGTCCTCGACATAAAAATAGCGAGTGTCGCCATTTGTCAGGTCCGATAAAGCTTTACAAATGAACCGGCGCCTACGCCAGAGGCAGTCGCTACTATAGTGGCACCCTCCATTTGTTCGGCAACACGCAACCGAGGGGACATACAAGAATAAATGCCTGCCCACTTCTAGCTAAGATAATATGACAACGAAATTTGTTAAAACTTATTGCTTTTTGTCACTGGTTCTAAAATTAAATTAAAAATTCGATTCAAAATATTCAAATAAAATGAGGTTATAAACCTTATTCAACAGTGGAAAATGATTCCATTTTAAATCTACGTACAATAATACGAACGGCCATGAAGAAAATTCAGTCGGGGGATCCGACGTTAATTGATGTCGCGTCGTTGGCGAGCGGAGTGGGAAACAAAAGCTCACAAACAATTCGCATTGGAGTTCGCAATCCCGATCAAGCGTTCGAGATCGCGACGCAGTTTAATGACACGAAAAATAACAAAGGTAAATTGTATTTAGCCCCAGCTAGGTAGGCGCGCCCTCCGGCCGATATATCGATCTGACTGAAGTAGTAGTAGTATTCGACACCGACTCACCACACCTCGGCACAACCGAGCGGTCTTAAGGTTTGCTCGAATGCGTCTCCACTTGGGATAACACTGCTTCTAATCTCATCGATGTATGAGAAATTTAATTGTTTCGCGAGAAAACACCACGTTTTATGCTTCGCCACTCCGTTGAACATTCGCATGTAAAGGTGAATTAATACGAATCTGAAAGCAGTCATTAAATTTTCGCTCGATTGATTTTGAGTGAAAACCTTTTAAGGTAAAACAGTAATGTCAATAACTTCGAAGGCGTAGAATTGTGCTTACCTTTTAAGAACATTGATTTTGTAATGCGATTTATTAGAATATTTAGGATACATAAATATAAATCGTCACGTTAAAAATCTGAAATATCTTCATGAGAAAATGTGTAGTATTCATATTTTACTTTTTGAGTATTTCACAATTATTCTCTGTCGACGCTCACGGAAGCAATCGTGCACCGGTTGATGTTTTTTTAATCCGCCTTTACGGACCTTCAAGCGAACATAAAAAAGTGTCGAAATAAAAAAAGGCGGAATAAAATACTCAGGAGTATTACGAACAAAGCCGATGCGTTTAAGTAAATCCAGGCGGGGTCGAATTTTATTAATTCGCGCGGATGTAGCTGGCTATGCATATTTCTTTGCTGGTGATAAGGTATTGGTAAGTAGAGTCGTAGAAGATTTTAAAGCAGAGACGCTTAGATTAAAAAGTTGAGAAGGCTACCTAAGTAAATGAAATAATCAACTTAGTACTAATCTGACTGAGTTCCTTAGCTAGACCTTCCTTAAACAGACCTTCTTGTTGCGAATTTCTCTTCACATAAAATTCCCATACTGTATGGGGTTTTTTAAAGAACGCGTTTTACTTCAGGGATGGAAACGTGTTTCTAAAAAAGTGTTGCAGGCGTCCATATGATACAGTGACCGTTTACTATCAATCGGGCTATATGTTTGTTTGTCACCTTTGTGGAATAAAAAAAAATCAAATTAAAGTTTGAATTAGTTCTGAAAATCAATGATGTTCAAGCTCAATCCCGTATAAGAAAATGAAGCAAGTTTGTGAACAAGTTCACTGGAGCGGTTCGCATGTGTGTTGACGTTAACTGCATTTTATAAGATTTTGTATCTGTTTCCTAGTACTGAAATTTCTGTTTCCTTTGAGATTTTTGCTGGACTACGGGCAGACGGCCAAATAGACAACTTTATAAAGGATAAAGCATTCCATTTTATTTTAAACGAATACAGTACCACAAGTTATTTATATATTACACAATTTTACAGAGGACTGCTATAAAACATTTTATTTGACATGAAGAAGAATAAGTGAACTCACCATAAGACTGTAATTTCAGATGAAGTAGTCAAAAGTATTATGTTTTTGTACCTTTTAATAGAACGACTATAATACTATTTTCTATATTTTGTCATGTACCTACATACAATTGATTAAAAAATAATAGAAGGCGAAGGTGCAGTTATCTTTGCAACAAAATTTAAATACAGAAAATACAATAATATTGACGGAATGTTCCATAGGATTTAGTCGGATATATAGAATTGACAGACGTATTTGGGTGTCTACGAATTAATTCAATTTCAAATTATTAGTAGAGCTAGTAAAATATGCCTTAATACTCAAATAGTACTAAAACTTTTAAATTCCTTAATATATTTTAAATATATTAAAAAAAAGTTACTTTACTTATCTTATTGGCATGCTTAATAAAATTACCCTTTCGTTATCAGAAATTTAACGCATCCATATAAAACGTCAAGAAAGCACAAGTCAAGCAACTTTGTAAGAAAGTAATGCGGTGCGGGCGTAGCGTACGAACATACGTGAGAGATAAACGCAGACGACAGGGGGAAGGGTTAGGGGGTCGGGAGTGAGTCAGATAAGTTTATCAGGGAAACCTCTCGCCTGCGTATTGACAGAGCGTCGCAGCCTGGGCCTGATTGCCGTTAAACGGAAGTCGGGGCGTGGGAACCGGAGGCTAGTAAGTGCTCCAGAAATACTACGATAAAAAATCACGCATTGGGAGGAATCTTCGATAAATTTTATGTTTTTCCAAACGCTGCGGATTTGCAAAGAGAATAGTGATGGAAAAAAATTGTTACTTATTCACTTTTGGTACACTTGGATACGTGAAATCGTATACGAGTTCATTTTTTATTTACAAACATTAATATCGAGAATGTTCGCAAGCTAACAAAAATTTGATAAGCGAAAGAAAACATTATATTGCGAGCATACGATGCTGCGTAAGGAAGATCGAGTCACAAATCTTGCGCTCAACAGGTCACGGATAATGAAATACTCCGCCGCGCCCCGGGAGCTCTTTCCATATTTACGTAACTGTTGTTCGAAGAAATAAGATAAGCGCAAGTCGACGTTTTCCGTCGAATTTCAGCAGTTACTTAAAGTGTTGGAGTGTTTATACAGCGAGCAGAGAGGGGTGGTCGGAGTACGATGGGCCGTAATGTGCGAAATTCAAATCAGATATAAACGATCGACTCGTCGCCCGTCGCCGATAAGCGACACAGTAACGTTACCTGACACTAGGGTTGACGACATTCAAAATAGCTTACGAAAAAATCCGCACACAATCAGAAAAGCTATTTTTAGCAATTCGTTTTATTTTATTCCTAATAGTCAATAAAATAAAAATATTTGTTTTTGTTTTCTTTTATGCTTCTTGTTATAAATAAAGACCAGCAATTTCCATGCATTTTCTTAGGTTTATGAAATTACATTTAAATTTTCGGAACTATTACGTTTGTCAGAAAATTATATGAGATAACCCTAACTACGCTTTACAGATAACTCTCCA